CCTCCTGCTGCTCAACCAAACTCATCCCATGTATATTATCAGAATAGGAAGTAATTAAAGCCGATAATCAAGGCGATGTACTCGGAGGGTTCTTTTAACTTCTTTTAACTTTAACATATTGACAGCAGAGCATGTTTCATTGGCGACTAATTGATCCGACAAAGTATGTGAACACTTCAGACTTCAAAAGCGAGTCTGAGGAAACTTCAGAAAAAAAAGACTTCAGAGCGAGTCTGAGGAGGTTTATGAATGAACCGCTTGCCAGAAAGGCATCTGATGAAGATAATTAATTAGAAATAATTCACCACAACAGCTGTTCACTAGACTTAATGTGAAGATGTGTGCGCATCCACACAACCTTACGTGAGTATTAACAATACTGCCAGCTCCACCGTCGTCCCTGCATGACGGCTCAATCACTTCTAACGCCCACGTCACTCCTAATTAACTAACGATCATCTTTATGATGAATAATGACTCATTAATTAGAAATAATTCTATTTAATAGTTCAATGGCAGTAAGAAATTTGGCCAATTTCGGTCTGAGGTTTGTACGAAACGCAAGTTGACATTTATCGGGACATTTTCTGCATAAATGAGGGTGGACATAAATGCGCTAGGCAATACATTTTATTTTGTTTTATAAATTTTAGCATAACGCTTCAACTTCAAGTCCCGAGGCAGCCTACAAGTTTCTTTGCGAAGTGCATTGCTTTCTCTATCTGCATTGTTAGCTTTTGTTACCTGTACGTGAGGAGATGGTTACCAAATCCGGTATATTTCTCTAGTTATCCTCTTATCGGACTACTTTAAAACATTTAGGATTTTTCGGTACTTCTTTTCTGTAGTTTAAAATGAATGACGACAGTTTATCCGTGTAAAATGTTAAAATTTGTTTGAAGAAATGTTGAAGGAAACTACGTTCTCGTAGGTGGTGGTAGGCACCTAATTTCAATAGTGACTTATATATTACTTTGTGTCAACGCTCGTATCATGATTTCCATGATTCCGTTGGCCTGCAAAAAAAGGCGGGGAACTTTCATTAACTTTTCTCTTATCCTGTTCTGTGATGACGCACTGACTCACTATATTATTTTGCTTATTCTACTGAACGGCAATGAAATGTTTTGAAGAATTGACTTCAGGTTTACGCCGGTTCTCAGAATGCGAACAGGAGCATATTGATAACTATAGGCTTATAATAAAAATTTTACCTTTACGTGATTTAGAGAAGGATCTTCTTTTATTTCATCGTAATTTAATTCATTCTAATGGTATATTTTTTCCTAAGTGACGACTTCAAATTGTAAATTTATTAAACCTTGTAATTCATTAAGACAAACATGACCACTGTGCACAATTTTATACTAAACCACTATTTGAAGGCATAGTAGGCCTTCATAACCATCATGTTTTTTATTGTGTATGTTTATTCCCGTCCTCAATTTTGTTCTCTCATTCAAAGGACTATTTCACATGTAAATTATTTATCTCCTTGGTATATAGAATACCTGCCAAAACGAGAATACCTGAAAAGGGTATTATACCATGTATATTACCGTTTTTGCCTAAATATTTGCAATTCTCTCAAAAATCTTTCTCTTAATCCTTCACCCATTTCCATAGTGAAACATTCTGACCAACTACCTTAGATTTTGTTGCGTGCGCTGACCACTAAAATTTGGAATTTGCGAATCGCATCCTGTCGGTATCCCGAATCCTGTCACACCGAATTCCCTCACCTCGAACCCCGCCATTCTCAATCCCACAGATAATTGTGAAGCCATCGTATTATAGTTTAAGAAATTCAAGTTTAAACCCAAATTTTTATAGTTATTAAAGAGATACCTTTTCATACACCTAATATATTGATCTCTCGCTATAAAATAAGAAGAAATTTTCTATATGTATTTTTTTAACAGAATCAATAAGCGCGATTCTTATTACAACCCAGGTATGTTGGCTAGCCTGTTCAAAGGAAAAATGTTGAAGTGCACCACTAGGAATAACATTTCAGATCCTGTTAATATCCCGTCACAATAGATATCGTGCATAAGACTTTCAAGAGTCCCTGCACATTTATGGCGCCAGGAGTACAACACTCAGACCAATTCTACAATAATATATTGATTCAAATATTTCTTGGCTTTTTACAAATTTTCTCGAGGTGAACATACAAATAGATCGCAACTAATTCACTTAATTTACTCTGTCATATTCATTTATACACACTCGAATATTTGTTAGTTATTGAACTTGCTTTTATCGTCAGTTTCGTTATATCGTGATGGCACGCACGCACCTTAACAATAGTTACGCACAAAGTAGCGATGATCTTGTCTGTTCATTGTTCAACCTGTAATGAATATGTTGCCAACGGCACATTGCCTTTTCTTTATTGGCATTTTTATTTTATTCAGGATTAATGATGTTTTGTACCGTTCATAATGAAAAGTTAAACTCTCGTTTATCATGGTGAGCAATCTCGCTGCTTACTTTTGTTCAGTTTCCCCTGTAGAGTGCAGGGGCTGAAGTCTGCAGAAATCATTGCAACTCACCTTCTACATTCCATGCAGTGCAATACAGAATTTGGGATTTCAGTAAAAATTTTGTCGAGTCAAATAAAATATTGCGTTCTAATCATAAAACTTGTCACGTTACATGGAACTTGATTACATGCATGTAAACTGTTTCAAGAATATTATCCAAAATTATCAAGTATTTTTATTGCCAGCTATAAATAAATGATAGGTATAAATAAACGTGCATTTGAACGGATCTCCCTTAAAAACTCTAGTTTTAATTTGTAAATTATTAACTGGATTCTGTACGAAGAGATTGGGGAAAACGATGTAAACAAAATTTCGAGAATTACTTTATCGCGGGCGATGCGATCAGCCTGACAGAGTATTTTTCAGGTTGTTGGTGATAATTGAATTTGTTGTATTCTGCTAAAAAAACTTTAAATAAAATCACATATACTTAAGAAATATAATTAATTATATCTGCGCTTTCTAAACGTTTTCCTATTCCCAGATTTTCTCGACTAAAAGTAAACAATTTATTGATTAATTTGCTTATTTTTATAAATTTTAGCCGGCTTAACGAGCTTTCACTAAGACTATTTTTTTTTCACGGAATAGCGTCAGTATACATGTTTCAGTTGTGAACAAAAGTTTTTTTCTAATTATCTTCCTAGAAATCGACCTACAGCTTTCGAAAAATTTTGAACAGAAAATGTCAGTATACACTAAAGTTTGCTTGAAGTAGATGTGCGTGCTGTAACGCTCTTATAAAACCTGAGTTATTGAGTAGTATTAAACAAACTTTATAATCTGCTTTGGTATCAGAAACCAAATAACATTAACACCGCAACACAGTCTACACGGGCGTATTTTAATTAGCAACCTAATCTTATTTTCTTTTCAGCCAGCAATATATTTTCTCCTTCTAAACTCCACAGTGCGTCCAGTTTTATTTGAATGTTTGTAATATTTATTGTAAAAGCCTGCATGACAACCCCACATACTCGAATGATATTTATTCTCTAGCACTCCACAAAAAGTTTATGGGAATACAATTATTGTTGGCTCCGGAAGCGCGTTTGATCATTGCTTTGAACATTGATCTTATATGCAATTAGATCATTCCTTCGTAATACGCCTCTGTCTAGTGTGTCGGGCTAATGACTACAGAAGTAGTACTCATTCATATAGCTGAAGGAACACTTCTTTCGTTCAGAACGCTTCCAGACTTTGCTTTGGAGAGTAACGCTGTATTATGTAGAGATTTAGACACAGGGCGATTGAATTTTTTTATCTAGCCTTTGAACAATTTCAAGTCTATCATTCATAAGACGGATGTGCATAATTCTTTGAAGAACTGAAATAATTTATGCGCAAAAAAATACCGGAGAACATAATAATTTGAATCAATGTAGTCGAAATCTGTAACAACTGTGATTGAAATGCTCACTGGACCTAAAAAAGCAATGTCTTCGCCCGCACACGTCCTGAAGAAGACATCACTGCAACGTTGGTCTATCGTTCTCAAGTTCATGGGGCTGTATTTGGACTTGAAAAATGTGGTCGGTGCGCCTAGTCGTCAAGGTGCTGTAACCAACGTACCAAGTAACGCAACCGAAAGAGGTAAAACCATGACTCGAGATCAATCTTGGGTGACAGACGGAGGCCAACAGAAAGATGCGTCGTGCTTCAAGAACGTGGGAAAATTAGCCTGGTATATCACCATTAACGCTGTTTATATGGCCTGTTTCGCCTACATCTGCAGTATTCCGAACCATTCAGATGGATCCATGTCTGGGATATTCAAGACCGCTTGGCGTTTTTTTGCCCTGTCACATCAGTGTTTTGTGTTATAAAATGCAAATTCAATCAAAGTGCATTTTCTACACTTTTTGAGTTAATTTCTTCTATGTCCAACTCTGAAGATATGTTCTCCTCCCGCTCCTATAAGTTCACTTCAAATTCCTGCCTGTTGATTGGTTTGGCTATAACTCGAGCAACCGAATTCGGATTCATGATAAAATACATAACAGATAAAATAGTTGAGAGCCAACTCATGATATCATATTTTATCATCTATTTCTCTACCTACATGTTTTGGGCGTTTAATTTCACTTTGATTCTCAGCTTTAATTTCTCCGTTGGCGTTCTCAAGAAAAATATAGAACAAGCTTCTGCTAAAGTAGCAGAACGTGGACCTTCGCTCCGTGCGCACGACGCAGTGGCGCCAACGTATCCCGCGACTCCAGGTTCTGTCACATCGCCCGCGTATGGAGAAGCCTCATCCGCAACTGAATTTCTTAGGGAAATAGAACACCAGCTGCTGCTCATTGACCAAGCCGTAGAACTTATCACTCACGTGCATTCATGGATTCTTATTTTCCTGTCCATTTATTATCTTTCCGATTTATTCGTCACCATTTACTTGCTGATGACTAAGCAAGGTGGTGCCTTCACTACGACAAATGTGATAATCATAACTGAGGCGCTTTGCTTCCTGTTTCTAACGCACAACCCAGCGGACGCGCTATCGGATGCTGTAAGTGGAATACCGGGCAACCGAGCTCACCGTTTACTCACTCGAGTCTCAAGTGCATGAGTGTCTCCTCATACATTGAACATGCAGTATGTCAGTTTTATGAATATGCCTACAAACGAATGCACACTCTATGAATTTTCATAGAATGTGCACCACACCGCATTTCATTCGCTCAGTATTTAATACCAAATTCTTTCTCAGGAAGAAGAGTTCATGGTGAATTTGCGGATGTTCATATACCGCTTACCTCATGACCAGCGTTGGCAGGTAAATAGTGAAGGATGTAGTGAAGCTATCATTTAGCTGGTTTATTAATCGGCTTAGAGTTCACGGTTAGATCACTTTTCATAGTATGACAATGAACGGAAATTGCCTAATAATTTGCCACTGCTGAGAACTGGTCCAATCTCTAAAAGTTTAAATCAATACCAGCAAATCTTGGTAACTTTGCATGGATAATTTAATTTAACAGATCAAGTGCAGGAAATGGTTGACAATATTCAGTTTGAGGTTTGAATCTAAAGTTTAAACAATATGTATATTTTCACGTTAAAAACGTGACTTTTCTAGTGATGTGAGACGCTGAGTATTCTTCGTTCATTAATATAACCAATGAGTAGTAGATTGCTTATATTTTACAGATTATAGACGATTGGTAATTTTATAATAATTTTTCATTTCATTCGTTACTTAGATCACGATATCCGTCTCTGTTCTCAACACTCTACTGACTCTAGCGTTATTATTAGGTCAAATCGACAGTAATCTGTCCATTTTCAGTGATTTAAAAACTCGAATGGTTGCACACCTTGATCGTTTTATCCATAATCACGGATTTATTGCTGGCTTTGAAAACAATAAGTTAAATAACGGATTGAATTTGTCCTCGTCGTGCAGATCGGAGGGTAACCATAGACTCGCTTGCTGGCTTTTCTATTCTTGATGTAGGGTTTAGATATACAAGTAGTTATACATAGATTAAAGAAATGATCAAGCAACTTAGATTCATCCATTATATATTACCCTTTCAACTAAGAAATAAATGCCGTCAATGTAAGTTCCATTAAATTTCTAAGATTTATGAAGCTTGTAAGGACTATTTCTAACAAAATAGCGGGTTTTCCTTAATGTAGTGTCAAGACCGAAGGTTACCTCGAAGGTGGTAGTGTGTGCGACAGGTTAGTTAGCCTCCTGCCTATTCAGATGCGTGTCTCGTATGTTAATTTCAACCTATTATTCATCTGTGCTGTAAATAAACTGTATTTGAATAAATGCTTGTGGGAACAAGTCTTCATTAATACTCCGACGAAAACACTTTATAAACTGACTTGGTGAAGAACCCGATCAAGTTATTACAAAGCTAGCGTTACACTTTGAACAAAGATATTAATGCAGTATCCGTTGTGCAGACGCTGGCGTTCATGTTTTCGTACGTGGTAACGTGCATCCAGTTCAACGTCACGCCTCCTCCTGCACAACCGACGACGCTGCCTGTGAACGCCACCAAAGGACCTAACTAGCCAATGTCATCAGGGTCTGAATTTAATTAGAGACTCGCCGTGGAGGATAATTTCCTGAAATGTAATTGATTGTAGCCAATAGCTAGTGCATTTCGCAAGCTAAGAAAGCATTGCATTCATATGATATTGAGTTTTTCACCTTCATTGTACTTACGTAAGACCGTTTGCTGCCACCACATACAACTAAAAGTGGAAATTTAGACATACAACTCTTGTGCTCATGCGTGATTAAATTATTAGAATGAATTTATGAACGATCGATATTACCATTCACCTCAAGCGATAATTGAATTTCTTCTCGTTGATTTGCTTGTGCTAAAACGAGGGTCATCCGGAAAGTAGTTCCCGTTTGAAAATTGAACAAAAGGAAGTAAATATTAACAAATATAAACATGTTTATTGAAAATAACATGTATTACACTACTTCTCTACGTAATCTCTGGTCAAATTTAAGCATTTGTCGTGTCGTGTCACGAGTTTTTGTATGCCAGTGTCATATTCCTCCGCCGCCAGTGTATTGAGATACGCAGTCACGTGTTCTTACAGTTCTTTGTCATTTTGAAACTTTGTCCCTGCCACGAAGTCCTTGAGTTTCGTAAACAGATGAAAATCTGAAGGAGCCTAGTCCGTACTGTAGGGTGGATGGTCGAAAATTTCTCACTTGAATTTTTGGAGAAGTTGTTGTGTTATACGAGCGCCGTATGCGGCCTGGCATCATCGTGCAAGAGAATGACGCCAGTAGACAACAGACCTCGCCGTCGATTTTGAATTGCACGTCGTAATTTTTTTAATGTTGCACAATATGCATCGACATTGATTGTGTATCCACGGTCATGAAATCGATGAGCAATACACCTTGCCGATCCCAGAAACACTGGCGGCGAAGGCATATGACACTGGTATACAAAAACTCGTGACAAGATACGACAAATGCTTAAATTTGTCCGGAAATTATGTAGAGAAGTAGTGTAATACATGTTCTTTTCAATAAACATGTTTACATATGTTAATATTTACTTACTTTTGTTCAATTCCCAAACGGGTACTACTTTCCGGATGGCCCTCGCAATATTAAATTATTTAGTTTGTGTCGGCCCTTGTCAAAAGATAGCTTGTTGAATGTGACACCTTACAAATGTGTCAAAAATACCACTGCATCTTAGTTCGTTGAATCTCAATTTACCGTTAACATTGAATGTGTCTAGGAGAATACGCGATTTGGGAATGTCGGGTGCTGCTTTTCTCATTGATGCACCTGCAATTATTGCCACTTCATTCATATTTATACTAACCGCAATAAAGTATTAACGTGATGGTCAGAGTTCGTTCCTAAGGTCCTTTGAAGTTTCAAGGAGAAATGAGCTCACCGGATGCACTTAGATAAATATTTATCACAGATTTATGCAGTGCAGATCAGATAACAGAGGTTGCTGTACATTAACGGAAAGGTCGTACTGTAGCGGGCCAGATATTGGTCCCGCTTTGTGAACTAGATTTGAAGCCGCCGCACTACTCGAAAGACGACTGCAGAGAAAAATGTACTAGCCGAACTGTCGACAGATCAGTAGGGAGCGTCTCTAGTAGGGAGCGACTTCGTGATTACCATTGTTGTGCCCATCACTATTGTATCAACGTTCTTCGTCATGCATCTGTACATTTCAAGTGTAATTATGTTTTACGTTTCAAGTAATTTCTACGAATCTCTTGAGTAAATATTAGCCTGAACATCATCCTTAGTCGTTTCAACCTCCCACGAACCGTAGGGCCCGCTGGCAGAGATCTCTTAAGTGTTTAGATGTAGTAGTTTCCCGCTACAGTTCCATTAGCATCACTACCGAGACGGTAACTTAATTGCCTAGCTATTCCGGCCCTTAACGGTACAAGACGAACTTCTCCTCACGAAGTGGAGGCTTATAAAGCCTTCACAGGAAACACAACATATAGGCCGTTACCGTGATGTCACATAGAGAGTGAGAAAACTAGTGTCTCGAAATTATATATCTCGGCTGACGGAAAGATTATAGCGGACAATTTTCAAACCCTCAAGCAAGCTGCACTGAAATAATAATTCACAGTATATAAAAAGCAAACCGATCCGACCAGTCGTCTTTGATGAAGTGAAATTTTTTACATTGCAAAAGCTTTCTCGACGCAACAAAGTATTTGGGTTAGATTTAGTATCCTGATTGATTTCTGGTAAGTACTTATAAATTCTTCATCCGTCATAAGTTTAACTGTATAACCGAATGCAACTGCTGAAGTTTTAAGCTCCAATGTGTGAAAAAAATCCTGCCGTTTTTCCATGGCTATTCACGTTCATGGAGCGATGACAGCATTTTCGTTTACAGTTCATCAGAATATTTTGAGATTTAATCTAATTATTAAGGGAGGTTATAATTAATTAAACGCAATCTTTGTCTCTAGATTTTTCAAATTGACCCGGATGTAGGAATTGAAATCCGTCAAATTTACCAGTGGCAGTGCTTAATTGTCTGAGGTCAATTTGTGGGCAAACAATAATGATTTTTTTAAACAAACCAAACTTAGTTTTCAGGAAAACATTTAAACACCTATTTTACCTACCACTTTAAAATGTTTTAATATTTAAATCTTCGCATAATGAATTACAGCATATAAACTTTCTTACTGGCCAAAAAAGGCGCTATTGGGGGGTATACCCTAATATTTTCGGATTTGGCTTTTTCGGGTTTTAGTCTCGTCTTAAAGCTGACATTAAAGCATTCTACTACATCGTTACATTGCATTTATTGGAGCACGGTAATGTCGGGGAGATATTTTTAGCGCCTAACGGCCCTACTTGAGTATTTTTAAGCCATTCATGATTATTCGTATATCTCTTTAGATAAAACGGAGAATTTCAGATACACTTCTTGCACTAACAATGAACATCACGTATAAGAGAAGAGCGATGGAAACAATTCGCAAAGAGTTAAGTTAAATATCTTGTTCTCGCCATCCAAATTAGGTCTCTAAGAGTAACTAAGTTATATACATGCAGAAGTGGGCAGTAGCGCGCTACATGTAGCGGCCGCTACCCTTTCCGTAGTGGTAGATGCGCCACAATCTAGTGGGTTTAGCGGTAGCGGTAGCGCCCGCTACAATTAGAGCATGTAGCGGTAGCGGTAGCGGCCGCTACATTTCAAAGTAGCGCTGCCCAGCTGTGCTCACAACCAAACAGTCTTCAACATTCACTAGCATTCGGCAACCAACATTCTCCAATTTTCAAACACGTACCGCTCAATATTATCCCTCGATATCCATGTGAAACATTCTACCCATTCATCCGTACCAAACACTCCTACCTTTTGCAGGCACCAAACATTTTCCACATGCGGCAGAGCAAAACATTCTCTCACCTTAACCAGTGATAAACCTTTTTTTCATATTCCTCCGCAAGAGCTACTTAAATCAGTCCTCATAATTCTCCCAAAATATTTGCCAACAACAGCCGTAGTGTATATACGAGAACAAGGCTCAATTTTAACCATTTCAACATAGCGCATCAACTTATGTGTATTGATCGATCTTGGACCTATCTTGTCCTGTGGTCAATACATATAAGTATTGGCATCAATACTTATACGTATAGTCCCATGGCATCAGTCTAGTGTCTCTCATGTCACTGGCGTTTTCAAAAGCGCTCCTAACAATTTCATCTCGATATACGGTCCAATGCAGCCCCATGAACTTGAGGGCCTCAAATCAACGTTGCAGAGAAGTCTTTTTCACGGCGTGTAGCAATCTTCTCTGGACGACATTTATTTTACTTTCCAAACCTAACGCTGATCTTATAGTTCTAATTCTACTTGCATAATAGGCCGTAAAAATTCACCGAGCATTAATAAATTTCTTTGATTCAATTATTCAAATTTATAAAAGAATTATGCGTCAGTCAGAGCAATCATTTATCACGTTAAATTCTCTACACAATTTTTTTAGTAATTAATTAAGTCCTGCACTAGATAATGGGGAAAATGGACCAAAGCCAAGGAACGATACAAGTTTTTATTGGACGAAACTCAGAAGCTAGTAAGGCTTCTGACCCAGACTCCTTCGAGGCATCTTCCACCTTTAGCGCCACTTCACACTCCTGCAAATAGTTCACAAAGGTTTTATTGACAGAATTTCAAAGCGATTTTAAATTAGAATTCCAATTCAAACTGATTAAATGATTTATGACATAGAAGAGTTTTATTTTAGATGAACTTGCTCAGCGATCGGAAACTAGGTTCCATACTGAATGAGAAAACGAATACTCCTGGACGTGTACCGTGATCTCGCCGTGGGGCCATCAGCGCCAAGATCGTGGGCCTCCCTGCAGATCTCAACAACCGCCAAGACAGGTTGATCATCCACGTCACCACCGGCACGTGCTGCTCGTCGTGGTGGTAGCGAGCGTCTCCGTAAGTGTAGAGATAACTCAGGAAATAAGGCAAAGGTGTACGCACCAGGTGAAATGGGCCCAGAGAACAAGGTGGTCGAATTACGGTGAAGACTTACTGAAGATACGAAAAGGATGAGGAGACCAAATGGATAGGTTTGCACCGGATGGGATCTGAAGTTCTACTCATACTGACTGTTGATTCATTTTCATTGTCGCTAGCTAGCCGTGCGGTTTGGCGGACTATAGTTCCTGACTACACGCAAATATTGGAGTCACGGAACAGTAATGATTTGGAATTCTAATTTATTACAAGAGGCGCAATTTCTTATTCTAAGATCCTTAAATTGTACCACAATTTTGTACAAGTCCATAAATGATTAATGGTTTACGCTAAATTCAAGAGATTCAATAGATTCCAGGACAAATGTTAGGTTACTCGCTCTGTTGGACATGATATGAACAGAGCCGAAGATGCGTTCCGGCTTCAGAAATGAAAAATACTTCAATAATTTTCAATGGTTCGACTCTACAACAGACACAAATCAAGATCCGTTAGGCATTTTAATCGCCAAT